AACAACGGTCGGTCCTTAATCGACACAGACAGAAAGCACTACAGTCCAAAACTCTGTAAGTCTCCGTCCGGTCTCAACTTCACTTAACACTTAGTTATACCATGACTACATAGTTATCCAAGCAGATCCAGGTAATCACCTATAGCTCGCAGGTGACAGGAAATCACCCGACTTCTACCGGTCTAAGCCAGCTAAGCATTGACTTGACTGCGGATACCAGGGTAACAAGGATATAGTATAACAAAGGTAGACAAGGTATAATGCAGCAACGGTTGCAAACAACTCCTGAACGTAATGCATCAATTAAAGTAAAGCATTTAATTAATAATTGCAAATCGGGAGAAAATGCTCCGGGGCTTGCCTCTCTCGAAGGAGCTCGGGCGGTGGTCGGGGCACTCCGGAAGTTCCTCAACGTCCTCATCGTCGGCTTTCGGGCACTTCCTGCGATTGCACCTCGAGCTGCTCCTTGGGCTCCTCGGGTATGATGACTGGGTTCTCGGTTTGCAATCCTGTATGATGCAATGTGCGTAAGTGCTTATCCATCGATGCATCGGATGAGATGAATACAATGGGTATGCTTGAATGCAAGGTAGTCAACATCATCCAAGAACATATACTACAAGCACATGTCATCTATTGCATTCTCTTCTACTATTAATATGCTAAGTCAACACATCTTATTAAATGCTTCAAAGATACACCAAAGCTACACTAATTTCTTAATCACACATAAAGCAACACTTGATTAAACCCTAATTAATAATAGGTTTGAATAGCAACATCTATTTTTATTGCTTAGAAAAATCTTAGAAAATTACCATAGCACAGTACTACCCTAAGTAGTCTAACATCAGATTTTCATGGTATTTGAATGAGTGGATTAGCCTACACAAAAATAACAAGTGGATTAGCCTACACAAAAATAACAAGCTATGACATGATTATGAACATGAAAATACTTTGTACTGTGAAAAGTGTCAAACAACAGAGTTAGTATTTTTCCTATGATCTTCATAGCATACAATCCCTGTACAAAATTTATCACATGCATGTTTTATACAATCTTTGCTCTCTAGCAAAAATAACAAAAATCAGCCATTAAAGGCACTTGAACTACACCTCAAAATTTTCTACAGCACATGCATGACACACATTTTTCCTAGGAAGTACATTACATAAGAAGATTAACAAACTTGGAATCATATTTTTCTGAAGCCTATAGATTTTTCTACACATTTTTCAAGTTATCAGCAATATCAAGGATTAAATAAAGCTCTACAAAAAAGTATCTTAAAAATGACATGCAATATTTTTCTCATGTAGATCTGGTGACATAGAACCTAGCAAAATTTGTCTCAACAAATTTGGAGCCAAAATAAGTACACAAACATTTTCCAAAGCCTTTAAGTAGAAATCTGAAAAATCATTTTTGAAATCCTTTTAAACTTCAACCGACATAATCGCTGGGTGCACCCGGTGCTGTACACCCAGAGAGGCTGCCACATGGGACCTAGCGGATCAACCGGCCCACTAGCTGACCACACCGGGCCTTCGCCACCACCACTACTGGTGGGCTCTACTGGTCGGCGACCAAGGCGAGGAGGGGGCTCACCGGCCGGTGCTCACCGGCGGCGAGTCCTCCCGGTGGCGCGGGTGGTTCCAGCATGCATGCCACGCCGAGCCGCACCAGCTGGGATGGTGGAGGTGGCCCGGCGGCGTGACGAACCACCTGGCCACGGCAGCGCGCTCGCCGGAGAGGAAGGAGGCGGCCGAGCTTGGTCCTTACCTCGACGACGGCGGCCGCAAGCGAGCGCAAGCGAGGCAGGGATGCTAGGCAGAGCTTTAGGTGGCGGGAATTGAGGAATGGAGGCGTGGGAGGGGTATCTTGCCACGAGGCAGGCAGCGGCAGCAATGCGGTGGCGAGCCTGGTCTGTGGCGGGCTACTGGCCAGGTCTCGTCTGAGCGGGAGGAGGAATGAGGAGGAGGCAGCGGTGTTGGGCAAAAGGAGGTGCGCGCATGGAGGCGGAGGCAGGCCATGGCTGCCACGCGGCGGGCGTCGCCGACGCATGGTCGCCACGCTGGCGGTCACGCCTCAAGGCTGGCTCGGTTTGGACGTGGCGCACCAGTGAAACAGCGAGGTGCAGACAGGCGAGCTGGGCTGGGCCGGGCCGAGGCGAGGTGGGTCAGGCGAGATGGGATCGGTGGATGCGAGGCATGCGGTGGCAGGCCGAGCCGGGTGGTATGGGGGCGAGAAAGGAGGCGGCGGACCCATGAAAGGAAAAAGCATTTTTCAATTTTCTATTTTCAAGGAAATTTCAAATAGCAGTTTTCAAATATCATTATGAGTAAGAAAATGACATCTTTTAAAAATGTCCCAAAAATAAAAGTTGCTTAGAATTTAATCCTCTAAAACTTTGCTTTTCTGACCAAAGTCCAATTCTATCTAGATTTTGAATTATAAAAATTAAAGTAAATTTTAACTCAAAACCCTAATTTTGGAGAATTATTTTTAAAGCAAAATTTGGCAATAACTTGAATACAAAATTTGCTCCAAAAATTGCGCTATATAATTCTAGGTGATTTACAATCATAGCCAAACATGTTTTACTAACCTAGCAAGCATAATTTGGGTAAAAACAACTCTAAATAGGTGTATGCAACATTCATGTTTCACGAGCATGTTTCAGATGTTTCGAAGCATGGTTTCAGTTATTATTTACATGATTCGGTATGTATGATTATGATGCTTGATGATGCATGATATGCATGATTTGCAGTGCCTAAATGCTGGCATAACACCGGGGTGTTACAGCCATCTTCGGTGATTATGAGGGGATTTATACCTTCTCCGGCGGAGCGCCGAAAGGTAACTCTAGTGGATTGCACGTGTCATTGAGTTACATCACTTGTGGGTAGGTTCTTGCGGTGTCCAATCGTGTGGATGAGGTTTGTGCAACACCTCTTAGCCTGCCGAACCACCAAGTGTTGGTCGACACAACGGGGATGTAGCGTGTTGGCAAGCACGTGAACCTCGAGAGAAAATCGGTTGTCTCTTGCCTTTGGAATTCTCCAGGTGATTGATTTCATCTTCATCTTGTGATTGGTTCATCCCTCTACATGGCGGTATAATCACCCTACTCACTCTTCTATATTCTTGCAAACTAGTTGTGGCAAACTCTTTAGTGTAATTAGAATTGAGAGCTTGTTTTGTTATTTAAATTCATCTAGTGGAACTCTTTAGTGTAGCAAGATTGAGAGCTCTTAGTAAGTAGTATCATAGCAAGTTGTGTGTCTAGTAATCATTGTAACTAGAATTGTTGGATAGATGGCTTGCAACTCTCGTAGAGCTAGAGTAAGTTTGTATTTCACTATTTATCTTACTAATCAAATTGCTCTAGTTGATTTGTAGATTTTTAAATAGGCTATTCACCCCCCCTCTAGTCATATTAGGACCTTTCATATGTTCCTAGTATTACCCAGAGAAGGGATTGGGCGAAGGAAAAGGGAACTTGCCTTTCCAAAACGCTTGTAGCGTTTTGAACGGAGGTTGTACTGCCTGGCTACATGTGGAGAGCACGACGAAGTCGACAGCGCTGCCAGTGTGGGCAGCGTTGAGCTCCAGCGGATGAAACGTCCCTCAATTCTCTGCAGCGTTAACATAGAGCATAATGTTTAGGTTCAACAAAACATAATGCATGAACAACATGTGATAGTACTCTTAAAACCGTCTACCAAGTTGTGCATATGAACATTATAAACCATACAAGATTATTATTTGTGAATTAGGCAACAAGGACATATGAACTTAAATTTGTAGCCGCCAACAGATATACACATAGAAATAGGACGTTATCAAAATACAAATGGGGTACAAACTCAAGAAAGCAATTACAACAGCTATGTTAAAACAAATATAACAATTAGAGAGGAGAGTAAGCAAAACTCACCACTAATGGTAGCATATTTCAAAGATAGCTCAAATCAAAGGAAACAACGCCCTTTCTTAAGCATAGGGAGGACAAGAGGCCAAACTATTACAATAGAAAAGATGATTGCAAAACCAACTAGCATCGTACAATGTAGAATATTTACTATCGAGCTCTTGTGATGCATGTATACAAATCCAATAACACAAACTGGCAATAAGTAGTTTACTAAAGGACGCATGAATTACTAACCTTCTGCAGTTGAGCTGAATCCTAGAACATCAATTAATAAAGTCTTGTCTTGTTTGGAATTGTACAAGAACGTACTACAACACTGATCACCAATTTAGGACTACACCAGCTTCGTCATCCTGCACAATTCGGAGGCAACACAGGATGGAACACGTCAACAATAAGTTATGTATGATCAACAAAGTTATGTTCAACGTAGATCTGAAATACAAACCTTCTCAGTGGGCGGATCGGAAACACTTGGAAGGAGCTGCCGTCGACCGGGTCGTGGCGGTGATGGGGGTGAGACTGCGGTGGCGTGGGATCCGAGGGGTACCTTGCTGGAGGCAGTCGGCGTCGATGGAGGCGGGTTCGGGGAGGGAGGCGGAGCTCAATGTCATCGAGGCTATCGACGGCGAGACTCGGCGTCTAAGCGTACAGAGGCGGGTGGGGACCGATCCGCTGACCAACGACGGGGCCGGGTGACGCGGCGATCACGACCGCCGAGACTCGCGCGTAGAGACGCGGACGAGCGGCGAGACTACGGCGGAACCCTAGCTGCGCAAAGCGAAGAGGAAAAAGAGGAGGATCGCTTTTTGTCTAGCCGTTCGGCTGAAGATGGGCTGCCCAACGGCCGGCGCATCCAGCCCCAGCAAGCCGTTTCATGCCCACGAACAGGGTGACCAAAGCCCAAGCAAGCTCTCCTCTCAAAAGAGAAAAAACCTAAACAAAGCGAAGCCCAACCCGTCAACGAGCAGAGGAGAGAGGGGACGCGAAGAGGCGAGGCGAGGAGAGAGAAAGTTCTCGAGCTCGACGAGCGCCGCGCGAGGAGAGAGAAGGGAGATGAGCGGCGAGGCGGCAGCCGTGGGCGGCGGCGGAGGAGGCGAAGGAGAGGCGAACGGGATCCCGCCGAACGTCACCATCTACATCAACAACCTCAATGAGAAGATCAAGCTCGAAGGTCTCCTCTTCCCCCCTCCCTCTCCTCTCCCTCTAAACCCTAGGGATTTATCTCGATTTCTTCCTTAGTTTTTGCGCCTCCGTCGGGAGACTTGCACCTTAGAAGGTCGATTTGGGTGCCGTGCCCTGGGCGCTGGGCAATGGAGATCTCTCTGGCATTTTTAGTGGATGTGGTGTGGGCTGCTGTTGGTCCATGGATCGTGTATGTGTGAGTGTATTGTGCCCGACCAGCCTGTTCTGTGTGATGGTCATGGTGTGCTTCAGGTATTTGCAATTGATAGGCGCGGATGCTGTTGCTGCATTTGGGGTGCGGATTTTGTGGGGCTCCTTTTTGTACTATCGAAATTGTGTTAGATATAAGTGAGGTTGTGCTTAGTTTGATGCTTAAGTTTTTGGCTTAGGCGGCTATATCACACACTCTTTGTCATGGCAATATTTTTTTTATATACTTGCTGCTGGAATTGAAATATCTGTTTGAAATTAGAACCTCAAGAAGACTTGCACTAATGTTGGTGTTTATGTTCGTTCTTAATTTTATCCGATGATTTTGTTATAGCTGATAGTAATTTGATTAAATCCTTGCAGAACTTAAGAAGTCCCTAACCGCCGTTTTTTCCCAGTTTGGGAAGATTCTTGATGTTCTCGCTTTCAAGACATTGAAGCATAAAGGCCAAGCTTGGGTTGTCTTCGAAGATGTCACATCAGCGACTGAGGCTCTGAAGAGGATGCAGGGCTTTCCCTTCTATGACAAACCTATGGTGAGTTTCATCGCCTCAATGCAACTGCCCTGCAATATGCTGCTGTCTTTGGCCTAATGGGCAGGTTTATTGGGTTTTGTGAAATACATGTTGAGAAAAGAACATGTATTGTTCTCCTTTCTGTCATTCTTTTATGGCTTCAGGAAACCAGCAAAAGCATATTGGCAATCTTAAGGCCACCTTATGTTGTATTTACCCGTGCCAATTTTAAGACCTGATTAATAAATTAGTTTGTTAGGGTTACGTGCTGTAGGTACATTAATGCTTCTTTTGAGATGATTCTAAACTAAATCAAACTATGCCATGTTGTCAAGCATTCAACTCGTTATGGTCTGCAAGTGTATTTTCGTCTGCGTGGCTGCATTGCATTTAGGTTCCAGCAAACTGTGTCACCGACTCACCATTATATTTTCTATTGCATTATTTACTCCTGAAACCTTTATTGTTTGAATTCAGAGAATTCAATATGCCAAGACCAAGTCAGATATTGTAGCAAAGGCCGATGGCACCTTTGTGCCTCGAGAAAGAAGAAAGAGGGTCGATGAAAAACGTAAGATGCTGGCTAAAACACCCTTCTTCTACATTTCTTGTTTAACTGATGTAATGATGTGCCCTTATGTGTCAATGCTTTAGCTCTTCTAGACTAAATTGATGTTCACTGCTTACTTTTACTGGGAGACAATATAATTTAGCTTAGTTTAATCAATTACATATTAACAGTTCAATGCTTCCCAGTGTACTTCATAAGACCGATTGACATGTCTTCTGAAAGTGGACTAAATACGAGTCACAAGAATTCTAATGTCTCTTTCATGGTTTCTCTTTGTTGCTGGAGAAATGATATGGCACGTAGTGTTACAAATACTCGGAATTAATCAATTAACTGGGGTATCAACATGTTCTTGTGGTCCACTCATTGAATATGAAGCTTTAATCAGTATGTAATGGTAACTGGCAACAATTCTCAAGCTTTGTAACAGGAAGCTATTATGAATGCATATTTTTAAACCAAGATCAGCATTTCCCTACAACAACAACATAGCCTTTCAATCCCAAGCAAGTTGGGGTAGGCTAGAGTTGAAACCCACCAAGAGCCTCAAGTCACGGTTTAGGCACTTCAATAGCTGCTTTCCAAGCACTCCTATTCAAACATAGATCTCTGGATATATTCCCAAGCTTTCAAATCTCTTTTTATTGTCTCCCGCATGTCAATTTCGGTCTTCCTCTACCTCTCCTCAAATTATTAGCTTGGCTTAGACTCCACAATGCATCGGTGCCTCTGAAGGTCTTTTTGGATATGGCCAAACCACCTCAACCGATGTTGGACAAGCTTTTCTTCAATTTGTGCTACCCCTAGGCGATCACGTATATCATCGTTCCGAACTCGGTCCATTCTTGTGTGACCACAAATCCATCGCAACATACGTATTCCTGCAACACTCAGTTGTTGAACATGTCGAATCTTTGTAGGCCAACATTCTGCTCCATACAACATAGCCGGTCTAATCGTTATTCTGTAAAACTTGCCTTTTAGCTTTTGTGGTACCCTCTTGTCACAGAGAATGCTAGAAGCTTGTCGCCACTTGATTCACCCTGCTTTGATTCTATGGCTAACATCCGCATCAATATCTCCATCCCTCTGTAGCATTGATCCCAGATACCGAAAGGTATCCTTCTTAGGCACTACTTGACCTTCCAAACTCACATCTCCCTCTTCCTGTGTAGCTCCGTCAAAGTCATGTATTCGGTTTTAGTTTTGCTCAATTTAAAACATTTAGACTCAAGGGTCTGCCGCCATAACTCTAGTTTCTTATTTACTCCCGTCTGGCTTTCGTCCACTAACACTACATCATCAGCGAACAACATACACCAAGGGATATCGCCTTGTATGTACTTGGTAACCTCATCCATTACCAAGGCAAAGAGATACGGGCTTAAGGCTGACCCTTGATGAAGTCTAATTTTAATCGGGAAGTAATTTGTGTTACCATCGTTTGTTCGAACACTAGTCATAACATTGTTGTACATGTACTTGATGATGGTCATGTACTTTGATGGGACTTTATGTTTGTCCAAAGCCCACCACATAATATTTCTTGGTATCTTGTCATAAGCCTTCTCCAACTCAATGAAAACCATGTGGATGTCCTTCTTCTGCTCTCTAAACCACTCCATAACTTGTCTTATTAAGAAGATTGCTTCTGTGGTTGACCTTCCGGACATGAAACCAAATTGGTTTGTTGATATCCGTGTCGTTCCTCGCAGGTGTTGCTCGATGACTCTCCCATAGCTTCATAGTGTGGCTCATCAACTTAATTCCACGATAATTAGTATAACTTTGGATATCTCCCTTGTTCTTTTAGATTGGTACCACTATGCTTCTTCTCCACTTCTCAGGCATCTTGTTCGATCGAAAGATATTGTTGAACATCTTGGTTAGCCATACTATAACTATATCCTCGAGACATCTCTACACCACTTGATTGGGATACCATCAGGGCCTATCGCTTTGTCCCCTTTCATTCTTTTCAAGGCTTCTTTGACCTTCGATTCTTGAATCCTCCGCACAAAGTGCCTATTAGTGTCATCAAACGAGTCGTCCAGCTGAACGATGGTGTTCTCGTTCTCATCATTGAACAATTTATCAAAATACTCTTGCCATCTATGTCTGATCTCATCCTCCTTCACCAAGAGCTGCTCCCTCTCATCCTTTATGCGCTTGACTTGGTTGAAGTCTCTTGTCTTCCTATCGCGAGCTCTAGTCATCCTATAAATATCCTTCTCTCCTTCCTTTGTACTCAAACGTTGGTAAAGGTCCTCATAGGTCCGCCCTTTTGCCTCACTCACCGCTCGTTTTGCAGTCTTCTTTGCCACCTTGTACTTCTCTATGTTGTCTGCACACCTGTCATGATACTAGAGCTTATAGCACTCCTTTTCCTTAATAGCCTTTTGCACATCTTCATTCCACCACCGAGTGTCTTTCTAATCGCATCCGCTCCCTTCGGTCACTCCAAGCACCTCTGAAGCAACCTTCCGAACGCATGTTGCCATCTTCTCCCACATGTTGATTGCATCGCCTTCATCCTTCCAAGGGCCCTCTTCAATGACCTTTCCTTTGATGCCTCCCCTTCTAATTTCCACTTCGTTCTAGCAACCCTAGCTTGTTTGTTCCCACGAGCTTGCACCGAAGCGGAAGTCAGCCACCACCTGCTTATGTTGAGCGACCACACATTCTCTAGGTATCACTTTACAGTCCACGCATGTTCGTTTATCTCCTCCTTGTAAGGACAAAGTCGATTTGACTAGAGTATTGGCCGCTACTAAAGGTCACTAAATGGGACTGTCTCTTACGAAAGAAAGTGTTAGCTATCATCAAATCAAAAGCTATAGTGAAGTCTCAGACTTCCTCTCCCTCCTGGTTCCTACTACCATATCCGAAACCCCCATGAACCTCCTCGAAACCTGCACTTGATGTACCTACATGGCCATTAAGATCACCTCCTATAACGAGCTTCTCGCTATTAGGGACAGCTCTAACTAAGCGATCTAAGTCTTCCCAGAAAAACCGCTTAGCACTCTCATCATGGCCTACTTGGGGGGCATACACACTAATTACGTTTAAGAACATATCACTAATGACAAGTTTAACTAAGATGATCCTATTCCCTTGCCTTCTCACCTCCATCACACCATCCTTGAGGCTCTTATCAATCAAAACTCCTACTCCATTTTTATTTGAAGTTGTCCCTGTGTACCAGAGCTTGAAGTCGGTATTGTCCACCTCCTTCGCCTTCTGCCCCTTCCATTTAGTCTCTTGGACGCATAAGATATTTACACGCCTCCTAACCGCTGTGTCCATTTACTCTCTTAACTTACCCGTAAGGGACCCTACATTCCAGCTACCTAAACGGATCCTAGTTGGCTCGACTAGCTTCCTTACCCTTCGCATCCGCCGAGGTAGGTGTGAAGACCATTGCTCATTTTGCACCACACCCGGGCGCCGATGTGGCGCGCCACTAAGGATGCGACGACAAGATCCTTGCTCACTTGACACCGTGCCCAGATCGCGACATGGTGCGTCATGGGGGTGACGACCCGGCCCTTGCTCATTTAACACCATACCCGGGTTCTGACATGGCGCGTCGCTAAGAGGGTTACGCCCCAACGGTATTCTTTTGTGTTTCATCTCCATAAAAGTGGCTAAGTTTTTACATTGGCTCGTCGCGCCTAACACAACCCTCCTCCTTTACTAGGACTTGGGATCTGCTATGCTGGGACACCAAAGGCGCCCCAGCATAGGCGGAGTTGAGATCAGCATTTCCTATTACTAGAAAATAATTTTGGATTATGGATTGACTATTTTTCTTTGTGGAAAATGCATTTTGTGTGGTCCAACATACGTTTTTGTTTCTTTTATTAGGATGTGATTACTAAATTGAATAGAACTTATATAAGTATTTAGGTCAATGAGGGGCTCTCTCCCAACCAGAAAATTAGTTATCTGTTCTGCACGCTACACATAAACTCTGAAGAAAGAGTTGCAATTTGTTAGGAAGAACTCATGCTTAAAGCTATGGGCTTATGAAACTTTGTTCACATTCTTTTTTTTTTTTTTTTTTGGAGCACAAGCATCATTAATTTCCCTGCTCTTGAATATTGCCAGCTGAAAAGAAGCAGAAGCGCGAGCACCACTATGATGCTAGTCAAATTGGCATGGGTGTAAATGCTTACCCTGGTGTTTATGGGGCTCCACAGGTGAGTTATATTCTGCTTCATTGCTTTTTTTGTCTTTTTCATGCAAAATATTGTGCATGTGGCATGTAAGAGTAGACCCTTTGTCTTTCTCTTTAGGAGGTGAGGGCTTGTGTTCTGAGCCCTGACCATGTATTGCATATTGCTTCACCACGGGCACCAATATCCACTCATCTTAGTTCCTCATAATTTTATAATTCTTTATGACAAGTAAATTTTCCATGGCTGTTCATGATCCAGTTTCTGATTGCGTAATCATGTTAGTGGAAGACTTTTGATGTAAAAGTATTGAACATTGATCTGGCATGCAATATAGCTTGGGTTTTAAGCTGATAATGTCATAGTTTGAGTTTTAGTGATTAGTGTTATGATAGGAAAGCTCCGTAGTTGATGCTGTTAACTGCTTTCACATTTGACTGCATTCCTCCATCACTTGATATGATTCCCTCAACTTACATTACTTGACTTGTTTTTCTAACTTACATTACCTGACTTGTTTTTCTGTACCAGCTCACCCAGATACCTATAGCTGGAGGACAGAGGGTCATGATGCCAGAGATTATCGTACCAAACAATATCCTGTTCGTCCAAAACCTGCCACACGAGACGACACCCATGATGCTCCAGATGCTCTTCTGCCAGTACCCTGGCTTCAAGGAGGTTCGGATGGTTGAGGCGAAGCCTGGGATTGCTTTCGTGGAGTATGGGGACGAGGGGCAGGCCACTGCTGCCATGAACAACCTTCAAAGCTTCAAGATTACAAAAGAAAACCAGATGGTCATCACATACGCGAAGAAGTAACGAGCTCCCGAGCTGTGTTGACCTGATCTGTGAAATATTGTATTCCGAGTTTTTGCACAACTGGTAGATTTCCTTCATATTTAGGTAGACAGCATCCTGAACATGTTACTTGTACCTCGCTTAGCTGCAGCTATGTGCACTTCAGGAACGGAGATGAAATGCAAACTGTTGTTTTTTTTCGCTCCCTCATGTATTCACACGTTGCAACTGCTCCACTATATTGGGTATTTCTTCAAAATTGGGTATTTGTTTGGAGAAGATTCTATTCAACCTGATCCAGAGTAAAGATAGAAATGAACCTGCGATCGTGGCGATCATGGAGCGTTGGCACAGAAACCCCGTAAGAATCAATACTATGTCATTGTACAGCGGCAGACAATGATTTTGCTGACGGAGTTCGTCCTCAACGGGAACCTCTGACCCTTTGATCTGGCAGAGTGCAACGTCCAGTCCTACCAAACTTATGCTTATGGATTGCCTTCGATGCATGCAAGCTCTCCTGTGCATGCGTTTCTTCGTGGAGATGTTAAACAATCCAACATACTTCTTCATAACAATCAGGTAACAGAGTTTTATGACTTTGACTTGGAACACCCAGGCTGCTTAGCTCTGTATGAATGTCGACAAGGACCAAATGAGGTCTTTTTTATCAAAAATATATACCCCATCTTTTCCAAATTATAAGAAATTTTGGTTTTTCTAGATACATGATATGATTTTACTATATAGTTAGATATATCTTATGTCTAAATACATAGTAAAACAATGCACCTAGAAAAAGCTAAAACGTCTTATAATTTGTAGCGGGTGAAGTATTATATAGGGGGGGCAACAAAAAAATGCACAATCAAACATTGATTAGGGGTCTTCGTTCATGTCTTCAGACCATGGAAAAACTAAAAGGCAATTGCTTGTTCCCTTGACGTGTCAGATCATAAAAAACATGTACACAGTTTTATAGGGCATAACATAACATTTGGTCGACTAGAGGTTCATGGTCACTACAAGGTAAACTGTAGAATCACACTCCTCACACCCTTTCAAGCTCGGTGATGTGCTTGCCCAGCTGCTCCTTCAGTTCTTTTCGCCACCCTTCAATCAACTTCTCGTGCTTGGCAATAAGCTCAGACTTGGTCTTCAGTTCTTCCTCCATTGTCGTAATCTCCTGTGCAGTGCAAAACCAAACATGTCAACAAGATGAGAGATATTGGGTGGGTAGGTATCCTAATTAAGACCGGCAACTATGCACATGTGATTCTCTCAGTCTCAACTACTACCAAGGCATTTTTACAGAAACGGTTGCATGAAAATTTCATGTGCACAGGTGTATGAATGTACTTGAAAATTCCATTGGGAACATTGTTTTCTAGAAGTGAGGATTCAGCCAGGCTATCAGTTCTTTCAATAATAAACACTTTAATTTCGAGTTAAAAGACATCCTATTCAGTACACAAGTTAATCAGAAAATAACAAAAATATTCCAATTTCCACTACATTCAGTGTCAAATTTTGCTGGGTTACATAGTTATCTTTATGTAACAAAAAGAGGTGATGCGAGAATAGGATCAAGGAGCCTTTGTAATAAAGTTTATACTGAATGTAACAAACTGCCTGTAGCAAGTAGCAATAGGTGAAATTTAGAGTGAGCTTTCCTAAGGATAGCGCCAACCACATTTGGCCCCCGTTCGCTTCGCTGGAAAAAACAAGCCGAAACACTGTTCCGGATGATTTGTTGTGAGAGAGAAACACTGTTCCAGCTGGAAAAAAAAAACTGAAAAGTACGGATTATAAGAGAAGCGAACAGGGCCAAAAGATTATTTGGGCTCATCGAAACATGTGAAAGGTGAATACTCCTACCAATGGAAACTTGTAGTAATTCTCCGTAACCAGTCCCCACTTCAATTTAACCACCCTCCTTAATGCACTCTTATAACTATATAAGAAGATGAAGTGAAATATACCTTCCGAAGCATCTCTTCTGGAGTTGGCTGATCCTCACGCTGCAGGCTGATGAAATAAGACTGGAGCTTCTTGGCAGCTTCCATGAAATCCCTGGCGTGCCTCTCAACATCAACTGTTCAATTCAGTAGAAACTGCAACACTTAAATATCCTGTCTGGCAGGAACGAATGACAAAATGCAATTTAACTTCTCTAACTAAATAACCATTGTGCACTATTTAAGTCGGTATCTAAAAAATGGGATTATCTTGGTACTCCCTGATTGCAATGTGATCTGAACAGTTGATACAAGTTTAGTTCTCCTCAGTCTGAGGACCTAATCAACCAATCACTACACAATTTCCCGGGCACAAGAAAGATCCAAAATCTTCCTCTAGACTAGAAGGAGCAAGACCCCCTTATCCATCTCGTATTCTCGTAGGCAACAAAACAACGAACACCTGGCGCGCGACGGCGCCGTGGACCGAACGAACACCACGAGGCTTGGCCGGTGCCGCAGCAGTGCAGATCAAAGTCGATAGGAGGAGAGTGAGGAAGCGATGGGGGGGTCGGCGGTCCGTACTCTGGTGGGAGGACTGGAGGGAGCGGTCGACGGCCTGGAGCTCGCGCGCGGGGAGACACGGCAGCAGCGCGGCCTCCAGCGCCGCCACGCACGCCAGCATGTCCTCGCGTCCGCCCGCCGCGGGAGCCTGCTGCGCCGGTGGTGGGGGCGGCGTCTGCGCCGGCGACTGCGACGGCGTCGGGTCAGCCATGCCGGAGAGGGAGAGGGGCCGAGAGAGATTTGGAGCGCTTTGGGCCTCCGATTTGCTTTTGACAAGGAAACTACCGTTGGTTTGAGGACGGACGGCTAGGAGCCTAGGATTGGTTTACAGAGGGCGTGTTCTGGGCCTGGATGGGCCGAGGCTGTGTGGCTGAAGGAAAGCATAGTTTGTTCAGGCTGACAATTTTCTGAAATATAATTTTTTTTCTTTTCTTCGATAGTATTTTTTTAGATAATTTCTTTAATAGTATACGAGCTAAAAAAATAGTATACGGGACGTCTAGCGCCTGGACGTCCGGCGCCAGCAATGCTTTCGGACGCCCTACTGCCCGCCCTGTGTCCGGCTTTCTCGCGTAGCGCCCACACGTGCTCCTTCCCCGTGCCTCCGCCGCTAGGTCCCGATTTAACCACTTGTGGGGGAAATTATCGCGCCCACTGCCATTAGGAGGAGCAGCGATGGGCGCCACGCCTGGTTGCGCACTTCTGCTGCCCGCATGGATGCTGCTATTGAATGACCGTATCTAGCTGGAATAAAGAGGGAGAGAGAGAGAGAGAGTTGCCGAGCATGCATGCAACTTTGTGCTCCATGCCCAGCATGCATGCAGCTTCGTGCTCCACGCCCAGCTTTGTGCATGTGGGGACCACTGCACCTGAGGGGACCACCTCTGCCTGTGCCCCCTAGCCGCGCCTACTGATGAAACACTTGCAACGTAAAAAGCATTTGTTGCAACATACGTCAAAAGTAGATGAAACATTTACAACATATGCTTGCAACATATGTGTATAGGCACTGCATTACTCGCAATATATGAAACATCCAGATAAAACACTTGCAACATATATTTGAAACAGCTGAAACATTTGAAACATACACTTGCAACATATGTGTGAAAACATATGCAACATCCAGATAGAACACTTGCAACTTGCAATATGATAACACTTGCTACAACAGAAGACTAAAATAGATGAAACATTTTGTAACATATTGTTGCAACATATGCATGTGTGAAAAAATATGCAACATCCAGATCAAAACGCTTGCAACATATGTCTGGAAACAGATGAAACAGTTTGAATAAACGATTGCAACATGCCTCAGAAACATTTGCAACATATGTAACATGTGCAATCCCCCCGATCTACTTTTGACAACATCCATATGAAATGATTACAACATGCATCTAAAATGTCTGAAACAATTAAAATGTACATTTGCAACATAGGGGGGAGGTTTGGGCCGGTCGACGGGGTGGGAGCCGACGGCGAGCGGCTGTGTGTGAGCACCACCCAAAGACCAAAGACCGACATCAAGACCAATGATGCGTGCAGCACCACCAAACACCAGCTAATGGCACTAGGGGCGACGACGGTGGGGGATGGGGGCGGGGAGTGCCATGGCTGCCGAGGTGAGAGGGACCCGCGTCGGGGTTGGGGAGAGCCGTCGACTCCCCTGCAACACCACCGCGCCACCACCATGGATCTCGCTCATGCTCCATGGATCTTGCCGGTGGGGGAGATGGACACCAAATCCATGGGCGTTGGGCGCTCCCAATGGATGAGGATGCTGGGGTGGGGGAGGAGGACGCCGGGTGGGGGAGGGTGCACGTTGGGGTGGGGAGAGTGTACACCTGGGTCGGTGAGGGCGCTGCCGTCGGCCAGGGAAGCAGCCATGGCCGCTCATCGGGGTAAGGCAGGGTGTGAGCATAGAAGGATGGGGAGGAGAAATTGAGGGATAAGATTTTTGGGTGTGGGAGTGAGCAGAGGGAGGTGTTTGTATGAATGGGGATTTGTTTTTTGTTTGGGGCCCGCTCCTAGGGAGACACGTATGGATGCAGAGTCACGAACGGACTTCCTGATAGGAGCATTATCGAATAGTATATGGTAATATGGATCGGTCATGGACTCATAATCATCCTTGCAAATTTTACACACCACCAAGCAATTCTTTCGTTTACCCAAAAAATGGGGGAAAATCTTGTAGTATCTTTGTCTCAACCTTCAAAAACCCCATTCAATTCGCTACCAATAATATATAAACTAATAAAGCCTATTTTTAATATATAAGTATGAGAAGATCAAGACTAAATGGTATAACCTTGAGTCCGGTTTCTTGGTGTAAAAGGCAACATTGAGGTTATGATGATATATGCATTTGAATGTTACTCACCTAAGGAGGCAAGGAAACTTGCAAACTCAAGGCACCTACTGTGTGTGCAATGCCACAATGGGACATAAAACATTCCTCCACATTTAGAATTGTTTTTTTACCGTTGGAGCTAGAAGATTTGTTAATTTTTTGTCCAATTTTCCCTAGATGGAGTAACACATATGTATGCCACTGGTTCACGCTGATGATATTAGAATCATGGTGGAGGATGGTAGCTGCCGTGAGGAATGGTTACTAGATAAGCAATCTTGAGAGCACGAACGAGGGCAACTTCGTAGAGATAAGGGCGAGCACTAGTTCCACGTGCCTGTGGAGATGAAAGATAGGACTCGATAACATTTTCCTAAACACACTAAGGACACACGAGGAATAGACATTGCGTTCTTGGCGAGAAAACTCAATGAAGGGAGATATCATAGCGAGAAGAAGACTAGAGCCCAGGGGACGGTGGCATGTGAAACGTTGTTTCTTCGCATATTAATGTAAGCTGGTATGCCTATGTGTTATACCATACCATGACAAAAATAGCACATCTTCTTCATCCAACAGAAAGCAATTCTAAATTGACACTTAAAGAGCAACTTATAAGGATGATGCATACTGAATGAAATAGTTAGAGATCACTAATAGGGCATTACCACTAGCGAAGGGCACTAGAGGCAAAGTTGGGCGCTTGCCCTCCTTTCTCCATGCCCTAGGCACTAAAGGTCCTGTGTTTGACATGCAGAAGTAAGGTGAGCTAACTACGATGTAGATGAAGTGCTATGTGAGAGTTGTAGTTGCCCCCCTTGTTTAGCTTCATGCTCCGTCGCTGGTTATTACAATGTGCTTGGCGACTACCACAGTTGGGTCTTGTTTGGTATGGCTTCTGTACAAATGGTTTCACCTAAGAAATGAGAATGAGAGAAGTCATGGTTAGGTGGCTTCACTCTTCTAGTAAAAAAATGGTTTCTTGCCTCAAGCTTCTCTCACAGAGTAGTTTTATTTAGCCAGTGTTTGATAAGGCTTCATCCAAGGAGCTTAGGACATGTTCCTATAGTCTAAAGTTTAGCAGACTAAAGTCAAGGACTAAAACTTTAGCTTACTTATGTAGTCTAAAGTTTTTTGTGTGAAATTGACTAATCTTTAAACAGCATTTAGTTTAGTGGCTAAACTTTAGACCATGGAATTCAAGCCCAACAGGGCCTTAAGCCCTTTGGAACTGCCAAAGAGGGCTTATCGTTCGATCTGGCAAGTCGTCTATGCCATGATACGAAGACCCAAAATGGACCTCAACGAGCTAAGACCAAACTAACTTAATTAGTAAACGGGCCATAAATTTCTATTTCCATGTCCCGTCAAGGCCCACATATGTCAGCCCAATAGCCCACTAACTCAAAACCCTAGCAGCAGCCCCCGACTTCCTCTCCCCCACACTATAAAGTTCCTCCGTTGCGCCGCCGCCACCCTCCTTCCCGAGCAGGAGGCGGTCAAGGTAAGCAGCAGCAGCAGGAACCCTAGCGCTGCCGCATCCGCAGCCATGGTGAGCACCCATTCGTTTCCTTGCAGCCTCCCTTTCCAGAGGATTTCTACGCTGTTTCCTGACGCTGATGTCGCGCGCGCTGTGTCTTAGGGTATCGACCTCGTCGCCGGCGGGAGGAACAAGAAGACCAAGCGCACCGCGCCCAAGTCCGACGATGTCTACCTCAAGCTCCTCGTCAAGGTAAGCGGCCTCGTTTAGTGATTTTCTAACATTCCCAAGCGAGGCGGCGATGCTGGCTTCGGTAGATCTATCCGTGGTCGAGTTGTTTGGTTCTGAAAATGCTTGTGATTTGTAGTTTCGTACTGTTATAATAGCAATAGCATCAATTTCGTGAGGATTTGCTTGTTGTGCCGGTGTAGTAATCCTGTAAGCTTCATCAGCTTGACGAGACTTTTTTTGGAAGATAAAAGGATTCGTTTTCTATTCATTTTGTTTCGTAGATAGATGTACGATACTTTTTGTGGGTATCTGCTTGCCCTTAATCAAAAGTGTCGTCGTGTCGTTCTAGGTTTGTATGTATGCCGTGATTTGACCTGTGTTATGATGGGGTGCAGCTCTACCGTTTCTTGGTCAGGAGGACCAAGAGCAACTTCAACGCTGTCATCCTCAAGAGGCTCTTCATGAGCAAAACCAATCGCCCACCAATCTCCCTGCGCCGCCTCGTCAAGTTCATGGAAGGAAAGGTATGCAGTTGGCACCCACTTGAGAACAGTCTGTTATTCCAAAATGTAATGTACCGTGCTGGTCTCTTTTTGTGCACCTGCTATGTCCTTGTCAGGTTAGTTTTATGTATGTTAATAGTAGTGGATGAAAAATTGCTGAAAAGCAAAATGGTTAATCTAGCTTCTTCACATTTAGGTTGGTACATTGGGTATACTGACCATGAATATGGTGCTGAAATAGTGTATAATATGTTAATAGGAGGAGAAGAACATTGCTGTGATTGTTGGCACAGTCACAGATGACAAGAGGATCCAGGAGGTTCCAGCAATGAAGGTTACTGCCCTGAGGTTCACTGAGACAGCAAGGGCCAGGATTGTCAATGCTGGTGGGGAGTGCCTCACATTTGACCAGCTTGCTCTCCGTGCTCCACTTGGCGAGAACACGGTATGTTTTGTTTTTGATGTTTGAAAGTTTGTCTATTTTATCTGCACATGTTTTTAATGGTACAAGTTGAGTGAACATTAGTCTGCACGTCTTAAGCCATAGTAATTCTCAACAGATGTCAGCCTTATGGGCCTAACAATCATGAAGTGTTATTGTTAGTCATGCTAGTACTGACAGTTCTCTTGTCGTTTGGCAGTTTTTAAGATTCCTTACGAAAGCAAGGATTTCAACTGTGTTTTAAGCTATTTCCATTTGTTGTTTGGTCTTGTTTTCTGGTTCCCAGTGATGGTATGTATATATATATATATTAACCATGCTAATACTGATGTCCTTTGACGAGTATAACAATGCTGAGGGAGCTTTCTGTTAAAATTTATTTGACTCACCTAGAACATTGAGTTCTTCATACTTGTGAGCTTCTTAAATTTTTTGGTTCTGCTAGTTGAATTTTTGAGCAATTATGTAGTCTTGAATGATTTTTGCGATGATGATAATCTTTCTACCCAGCTCATTATGAGACTTCCCTCTGTGGGCTGTCATGATATGTGTTTTTTCCATTGCATCTGAGCTCATTCAAGAATTTTATCTTGAGTTATTTGGTATTAATTTTTCTTGCCAAGCTGTCCTATTTTGTTCATGTAGTTGGCTCAGTAAAAAGACATACTTTTGCAATGATGATAGGATTTCTAATCCCAGCTCGATGAGACTTCCCTTTGTGGGTTGTCTGGGATCAAAAAAATTCCTTTCTATCTGAGCATGCATATGGTTTTGTTTTGTTCGTGATCTTTTTAAAAAGGGTTGTGTAGCAGCTTATTCTCTTGAATGACATTTGCAATGATGATACTCTTTTTACCCAGCTCATTATGAGACTTCCCTCTGTGGGTTGTCATGATATGAGTTTTTCCTTTGTATCTGAGCTCATTCAAGAATTTTATTGAGTCATTTGGCGTTCACTATTTTCTTATCAAGCTGTGTGATTCTACCCATCTATTTAGTCATTTGTACAGTGGGCATAGCCTGATTTGTTCTGCAATGATGATAAGATACTCTAATCTCAGCTCGATGAGACTTCCCTTTGTGGGTTGTCTGGGATCATAATGTTTCCTAGTATCTGAGCAAGCATATGCATTTGTTATTTAAGCAGCTTTTGTATAAAAATGATTAATTAGGTTTGTACTACAAATGTACACTGTCCAGTCCTGTAGTGCAAATATTAGTAGTCCTGTACTGCAAATATTAGTTTACACTTTAGAAAGGTAGTCAAAATTATTCATTGTGAAATAAACCCTATCCTGCTCTACATGAACTAATGTTCTGGCCATGTTGTGGCTTTACCATACTGCAGGTCCTCTTGAGGGGCCCCAAGAATGCCCGTGAGGCAGTGAGGCACTTTGGCAAGGCTCCTGGTGTGCCGCACAGCCACACCAAGCCATATGTGCGCTCCAAGGGAAGGAAGTTCGAGAAGGCTCGTGGCAGGAGGAACAGCCGTGGGTTCAAGGTTTAAAAAAGTTGTGGTCCTTGTGCGTGTTGCCATCAGCATAGTGCAACCGTTCTGTTTGATGAATCAACAGTAATTAGTAATCACTTTCTACCGAGTGTAGTAGCACAATTTGTTGTCCTGGTTTGAATTTTGAAAGATATTTGAAGGATTTCGTCTCCCTATCTACTGGTTACTGGTTGAGCAAGAAGACAATGTTCTGTTGCACCTCTTATCAGATCCTTGCATCTTATGTTTTGTGATTGGAAGTGTGTTGTGGGATCAGTTCTGTGACCTTGATGCTTGAGGTCATACATAAATGGTCTTGTGATTTGGGGCGATTGCTGAGTTCACGTTCCATGTATCATTTTTGTGAAAGCTCTCTGCTAGCAATCGTCCCCGCGTTCCATCTCTGCTGAATGTAGTCTACGGCATCAGCTGGAAGGTGGCTTGGTCCTTTCGGGATCTGAAAATGAAAATGAAAATTGCTTACTCATATCTTCAAGCTAAATTACACGCCCCTTTTGGGATCTGATGAAAATGAAAATTGCTTACTCATCACTTCGAGCTAAAATGCACGCCTCTTCAATCATCTCTTGTTTTGAGAGCTAAAATTCACGCTTCTTCCAAAGTGAAATTACTTCTTACATCATCTCTTCTTCCAAAAAGAAATCATTTGTCGGACCAATGTTTTCATGTTCTAATCTAATTAGAAGTAGCCATTAGCATTTCATTGTGGTTCACTTGTCTGCCTCATGTACAGATCAGCTTCTTTCTGCTTCTCTCTACCAAGACTATACTACACTAGAGAATCCCTAAATCACCTCTAACAAACACCACACCTGTAACAACTTAAAACACCACACCGCTCTCCTTGCCCTGTTAATTCCCCAGAGGCGAGGCACTATTTTGGACTCGCCCGATCGCACTCGCAGCTGCATTATTTCAGAAGCAAGCTTAGCAAGAGTGCGACAGCTCTGGGAAAAAAGGGGAGAGCAATCTCTAACACACAACATCCTTAACCCCATGAATCCAACTTCAAATCATGATATCACAAAATCAGGCTCGTGGCCCGCCTCCCATTGGATGAGGTTGCCTCCAGGTTATTGTCATATCATCGACTGGTAACGATGCGGAAGAATTGCCATGTCGCCATTGATTATCGATGATGCATCTGGATCTGCAGTTCCTTGTTTTGGCTGGACAGGAGGCACGATTCTCCGGAGATTTGCATTTGGTTTATCAGATAGTCCTAGCTTCACAAAGAACGTTGCGGTACAGCCCTTCCCTACGCCTTCGCTTTCGAGCCAGATGTTCCCTTGCATAAGGGCAACAAATCTGAAGGTACCAGAGAGAGCATATATATACTTTATTAGCGTCGGAAATCAAATGTTTTCAAGGGGAAATGCATTTGGGGGAAAAAAAAAAACTTTACTAGGATACCTTCTGGAAAGGGCCAGACCCAATCCGTTGCCATTATCCAATTTGTTTATAGCATTTTGCGGGTGTGCAAATTTTGTGAAGGTGTGAGGCATATATTGTGGGCTAATTCCACAGCCGGTGTCTTTTACCTGCACCATTATTTGGCATCAGATTTTCTGTACATATGTACAAAGTATAAGAAGCAGATCAATGTTGTGGCATGCTTGACCAATGGAATTCCTGCAGACTAGCAGATAATAACCTAAACTTTTTTGAAACGAAGACAATAACCTAAACTCAGGTCCCTAACACACATGGATTGAGAAAGCCCTCATGTGGAAAATCTCTGATAAATTTGGGTCTTCCTTTCTAAATAAAACTGTTCATCTAGATGAACGGCCCGTTTCTCCTAAAATATGAAAATTATAATATGGCTGCATAAGCATACCTAGACCTATAATATAATATCAAGGGCTACCAATCAACTCCAAATACCCTCTTTTAATTCAAGGTACCGTGTTGCACATTATGGATAATAGATGGTTAATTTATATGCCAGGGAACACAACTAACAAGTCTGTAAGGCATTCGACTACTGCAGTATTGTACTAGCTATCTGGGCATGACAAACAGTAGTTAGAAATCTACTGGCCATTACTTCAACCTATGAACACACACATTGATATACTAAGAAGATTAAGGAATTAAACCAACGTAGTAAATGTTCATCAACTAACCTGCACAGCCAAGTAAAATGACCCATCGGAGAGAACTGGATGGAAGTCAGGAGCATATGGGTCCCTCAGAGAATCTGACCTAGCGATAGATGCTGAAATTGAAACATGACCCTCCTTTGTAAACTTAACGGAGTTCCCAGCAACATTTAGTATTATCTGCATCAACCTCTTTCGATCACCAATTGCACAGGTGGGCAATTCTGGAGACAAGTGAACCATTACCGATAGCCTTTTCAATGCAGCTACTGGCTTAATTAAATCAACCACCTACAAGATGAATGAGTAAGTTAAACCAATTTCCCTTGTGGATTACATAATAGTAAAGCATAAAAGTGCAGAAAGGGCACTTACATCTGTAAAGGTGGCATGTAGATTAAAAGGTGCAATTTCCAGCTCAAGACTGCCATCCCCAAGCTTGGAGATATCTAAAACATCATTTGAAAGAGTCTCTAGAAGATCGCTACTCTTTAGTATACTCTCAATCATCATGCGCTGTTCTGCAGTAAGTTTTGTTTCTAACAGGAGGGATGATAAAGAAATGATTGCTCGCATAGGAGTCCGCATTTCATGATTCATGACAGCAAGAAAATCATTCCGAGCACATATAGCCATTTCCGCCTCTCGGCGTGCTGCGTCCAGAGCAATATTCTGCTCCATTAGCAAATCACGGGCTCGCATGGACTCTTCCAAAACGGCAGCATGGGACAGTGCAACTGCCACCTAAATGAGAAAATGGGCTCATTTAGCTATGATATTTATAATGAATTAAGAATATATGACAACACAAGCAGTGCAAAATACTTGAGGGAAAGCCTCATCAATATGCTATGTGATGACAGACAAGCTCAGCATCAGCAAGAATTGCTTATTGTAAGTGCAGAGAGAGGCCACGCTACTCAAACAAAATGAGAACAAAAAGAATGACCATTTCTAGAAGGCCTACCAAGGTAAATACTACTACCTCCGTCCAAAAAGAATGTAATCCTAGGTTTGGACTAAATCAAATTTTTCTTAAGTTTGACTAGGTTTATAGAAAACAATATTAACATTTGTATCTCAAAATATGTTTATTATGAAATCTATCCATCATAATACTAATCAAAAAACGAGGATTGCATTTTTTTTTTGGACTGATGGAGTATAAAACAAATAGGAGACATTATATCACCAAATAGAGTTGACCATGTTAACACAGTTTATGACAGCATACAGCAGTTAGCCGATTATGCCAGAAATATTTCTTTAATAACAATAAAAAAATGTCGTTTAAAGCAAATTAGTAACTGAAGTCCTACAATATTCAAAACTCGACCGCAAACTGAAAAGTGCTGAAAGGCTATTAAAGAGCATCTGGGAATAAAAATTACAGTTGTAAAGAAAAACATCTTATTAAGAAACAAAATAAATAATTTTTAAGACAAAGTATTTTGGCGCCAAAACTAAATGATTCAAGAGGTAAACTTAAGCTCCAATCCTTGTCCTTTCCACAGAGGGTGAACCCAAATTAAGATCCACTCCTAGTAATGTTCTCTTCCTATGGATTTTTGTTTCTTTAAAACTTATGCTGGTAAGGCACACTAGTACCAATGTGGGAGTGTACTAGACAATCATACCAGATATAAATGGAATGCATACATGAATGCGCATCAAAGACAAAATTGATAATTACCTGATCGGCAACGACTTCAACAAGCTCCAGTTCATGGGGTCGCCATTTCCGTGCACTGTCTGGAGGAAGCATCAAAACCATCACTGCAAAGGCTTTTGCAGATAGCTCAGGCCAATCATTTATTTGGAAATTTGTAAGCTGCAGGAGCGGAACACGCACAGCAACGACCTCTGGTGGAACGTACTTGCTTTTCTGAGTCTTCACTGAAGCTAATGGGGAAGTATGTGGTATTCGCTCAGCACGATTACTATTAAAAATGGTAGCTATAATCCGAAGATTGATAGGAACAACTGATCCGAGCGGAGCACTGCTATGGAGCGCATGTGAGAGCTGAAGGGTTGTTCCAGAGCGGGACGGCATCCACACAGCACACTCTGCTAAACCAAGAGTTCTCCCCATTTCAACAAGTGTAGTTCTCAGAATGGTATGCCTGTCAAGCGTACTCCTTATCTCGTGTGTGAGCATGTGCACATGCCTTCCCGTCTCCTCTTGTGTCCTTATTATCCCCATCTCCCTATCAAGCTCCTCAGCCTTCGCTTTCAGGAACCTCTCCCTCAATTTCACACTCAACAAATCAGGGATTATATGAACAAGCATCAGAGCTGTTATGCATGACACAACTGCTGTCGCCACTTTTGCCACCGTCAGTACCACGGCTATGGTCTTGGTATGTGTAGTGAAAGTCCACATGTTTATCAGGTGGGTCGCCCCACACAGAACGATGAACGCACCAAACTGTGTGAGCACCCATCGGTACGGGAAGAAAGCTGACTTCTGGACGAAGTATATCAGCTCCAAAGGGATTGAGAAGTATGCAAGTGCGATAAAGAAGTCAGATATGTACTGGTACTTCATTAGCAGATCATCGGCCTGCCAGAGTGGCTCAATACAATCGCATCCATCCATCCGTAAAGAGTTAAAGCACTAATCGAGATGCTGCAGTTCTTGAAAGAAGCAACCACCAAAATGCCACCTGCGAGAACATAGCACCATATATACTCAGATTTACTACTTAACTTGTCTGAAACTGGGGACGATGGCTTGAAGTGAAATTACCGAAGGCTTGCAAAAAAAAGCTTAATAACCTGTAAGAAGACCAGACGAGACTACGCGTTGGAGCAGCCCGAGCCGAGCTCGAGTTCGTGCAGGGAGAAGGAATCCAGTCCAGGAACAGAGTGGAATGCAAGAAAGGCGGCAACTTTTACCCCTCCAATCGAAAGAAAAGCTCCTCGCGCCGTTAGCTTGCCTTATAAACCACCAACAGTATTTTTATTCGGTGCACCACCGACAGAGGCTAACACTCGATGATTCTAGTATAAATAAAATGACCTCCTTAGATTAGAAAATATTAAGATTATTATTCACATAATGCAAACTATCATTACTTATAGTTTGTAAAAAAACTTTTTCCTTTTATCATACCTCATATTTATTTCCTCTCCCTCTTTTTTTTTTAAGTATGGATCATCTTTTCTCTTCTAAGCATATGTACCTTTTACAAGTTCCTATGACAAATATAAAGCATCTATTTTTTTTTCCGATCCTATTACATGGTACTTAGAACTACTAGTAGAAAAAAAAATAGCGTTGGGAAAGGTGTCAGAGGTGATCATATAAAATACTACAAGCAACACGGGGACCCATTTTGCTCTATTCCAAGTTGTGGTTAGATACGTCGAACACGGACCTGCCTTGATAATAATGTACTCCTACTTATGAATTCCGTCGCATGTGTTAGCTGTGTAGGTTTGGTTAATTGTGCTATGCTATTGTTGTCAACTACTATAGCCATTTTTTCAGAAAAAAAACTTTCATTAAGTATTTACTCTATCCGTTCTAAACTATAAGTCATTTTATTTTTTTTCTAGTTGTATACCTAAACATATGCTATGTCAAAAATACATAACCAATACCATGTGTCTAGAAAAGCTAAAATAACATATAATTAAGAACGAAAAGAGTAGTAACCACAAATGTAAGTATTTATTTATAGTTTTTTTATAAAACAAAACCAAGGGGGAAGAAATGGCTTCGATGCCCCTCAATAACCTCAAAGAATATAGTGATCTAATTAACATACTCTCTCCGTCTCATAATAAGACTTATTTTAGCCTTCTATAGTTGTCTAAGATTATTTGTCATTCTCATTTGTCTTTTTTCTCAATATGTCTCTCTCTATCTCTCTACTTCTCGTTTCCTACTCCTTATTAATTCTCGTGTAGTTAAAACAACAAATAATATGTGAAGGAGGGAGTATGCCTGTTTAGATTGTCGATACCGAATTACCTATGGTACATTAATTAATAATGAAAAAGTGGGATGGATAAGATATATTTATTATTGACAAATTTTGGAGAACAAAAATGCTTAAGTTTATAGATGGCGGTGACATTACTTTTACTTATATCTTTAAGCTAGAAAAGCGTTCTTGTAGATAATTTATTTGTAACAGTTTGCTTTTGATCCTTTTTTTCATCATTCTACACTTTCTAAACCTTTTTTTCCTAAAATATTAAAAACTCAAGCATAAACCTTGTTATATGACTAAGGGCCTTCTTTAAGGATTTCTGTTTTCACGAAGGGTATAGAAATGGAGCCCATTGCTATTACTATATATATATATATATACGATTCCAGCATTTCAATGGTGGCCTAGAGTCTAAAGACTGCAACAGACAATCTAGAAGAACTTTCTACAGGTTTATTATTTGGCCACATGATGTAGACTCTAAATTTTGGACAACTCATTTTTTTTTTTAAAAAAAACATCTCCAGCCTTACCGGTGAAGATACCATCTGCCGTAGGGAATAAATAATTATGGAATAGATTATTTTTTAGTGGGTGGATTAGGGCAATCCTTGGTGACAGCGACAGGGGGACTGGATGCATTGCACCTGCTTAATGTATGGGAGATGATGAGAGATCTGACATTTGGGAAGGGGACCTTTGGAGTTGTGGGTTATTTAGACTTGGCCAGGAAGGGCCGGCAGCGACAGCGAATGCCCTTTTTCCTTGGACCCTGCCCATGTGTTGATGTCAACCGTCTACGCGGCTCTAACCATCCTTTTTCGTGCCAATTGATGATAAATGTATTCCGCGTCACTCCCTACTATTAATGGTATGTTTAGTTAGCCCTCGTTTAGTTTCACCCTAACTTCTAAAAAATTGCTACATGATCATACTCATCGAATGTTTGTATGGATCATTAAATATACACTCAATTACACATATTTGGTGGGAAATTTCAAAGACGAAACGTTTTTGGCTAATTAGTCCATGTTTGAACACTATTTGCCAAATAAAAATGAACGTGCTACAGTAGCCCTAAAATCCAAATTTCTCCAACTAAACAAGGGCTTACACTCCAAAATGTCAAATTTTTCAAGATTTCCCATCACATCGAATCTTTGGACGCATGCATAAAGCATTAAATATAAATAAAAAATAAAATTAATTACACAGTTTAGACGAAATCCACGAGACGAATCTTTTAAGCCTAATTAGACTATGATTGGACACTATTTATTAAATAACAACGAAAATGCTACAATAGCATTTCGCCAAAAATTTTGACATCCACATGGTGCCTAAGTGACAAGCGTGAGGACGCTGGCAAAAAAATAAGAAGAGGAAGGAGGCAGGCAGTAGTGGCAGTAGGATTTAGGGTTAGGGTTTGGATTTCTAGAGAGTCCTCTATGGCGAGGGGCTTAAAAAGAGAAGAGTGTGGTGAAGATGAAAATCTAGTGGTGGTATTTTTGTTTTTCTTCTCCGATTCAAACTCATAAGTACCGTTGGTGGGAGCGATGTGGCAAACTTTTCTTCTCCGATTAGATTTAGGGGTGGGCAGGGGTGGGCAGCTGACGGCGTGACCGACGATGTAGAGGCCGGAGGCGGTCTGTAGCAGAACCGCCTAATCTAATGCCTCCCAGGAGTACTCATCTTCCATTTGACACTAAGTACTCAAGGGAGGACATCAAATTACTCGGTTCCGTCGGGCACCCCCAAGGGGAGAGCCCGAAAATCCACATTTTTACATCAGGATCACAAATGAGAGAATAAAGCTTATATCATTATTAACCATTTCTTACATCACTTTTTAATACACCATCAGAGTGTAATATTTATTATTTATAACAGCGGAATATGAACATGTTATCAGAGTTATGAACAAATTAAGTTAACAGCGGAATGTAAACATGTGATCAGGATTACAGCTGGAAATAAAGATCTAGTCATGAAATGCTAAAGCATTGATATATAACTTATGACAACAGATTATAAAACTCCATTTAATAAAACATTTGGTGAGAGTTATAAATAAAAACTAGGATTGCAGCGTAAAGAAAATCCTCTCTGAGCCACCAGGAGAAATCCTCTAGCATCCACCTGTCACCTGCAACGGGGAAATAAAACCCTGAGTACTCAATTGTACTCAGCAAGACTTACCCGACAGGAGGAAAGAAAAGACTCCAAGGATATGCAAGGCTATCTGACTTGTGGGTTTATTGCATCTGCAGGAAGCATTACTAAGCGTGCGTCCTTATATTGGATTTTTATTAGTAAGTCGCATTAGTTCATTAACTAACCATTCTATGTAAGCACCTATGCTGCTTTCAAGCAGGTGGTAAGCAATCAGATTTCCTTTTTCCATCTTCCATCTTTCACTTCTTACTACGATGCTAAACCGTAGACAAGCCGTACCGGATTTCCTGGCGATTCACGAATCAATGCCCCCAGTTGGGTACCCCGAAAACACACGCCCCGCTTGTACCCAAGGCACAAGCAGGACCAACCCACTACCCTCCTGTCCTGGGTGTCCAGGTCCCCGTTCAAATTGGGACTCCAAGCCCCCGCCCCTGAGTCTCGAACTTAGTGCGGTGCAAGGACCTCCTAACCCAAAAACCACCAAGACAGTCAGTCCGGAAAGAGCCAGATCCATGACAAGAGAGCAACGAGTCTTCCAAGCGCCCATACCCAAGTATGTGCTCGGGATAATAAGTCTGTGACTTGCCTAGAGCCTTATGCAATGGCCGGTCCTTAACCGACATAGGCAGGGAAAGCAGTGTAACCAAGCAATGCCCCGCGTCCACGGTGACACAACCTCTTACACCCACCAATACCCAAACCATATCCCTGCCCGGTCACCATTTTTCCTTTCCACCATTTATATTTTTCAAGTGATAATAATACAATAATATATTTTCTATCTCTCGCGAGTGATAGGCAATCACTCGACTTCTACCGGAGTCCTATAACATAGCAATCTACACGATCCTATCATACTAGTAAGACTCATAGGATAAAGATATATATATGCAAGTGTCGGTGTTTCGAACAAACACTGGCGAGTAAATTTATAATTGATGCACATTAGGCCCGGATAGTGTGCTAAATGACACAAGGTTTATACTGGTTTGGGCTGAATGTCCCTACGTCCAGTCTGCGGCTGCTGCTTGTATTATTAGCACCGAATACGGTTCGTAGTAGGGGGTACAAATGGTCGAGAGAGGGACTGATCCCAAGTCTCTGATGGAAAGGATCGAAAGGATGCCAAGAGCCTGGTTGCTGCTTGGCTGTGATGTGTTGTGTCGGTCTCGAACTGGGTCTTGTGCCTGTTTGCCTCTCCTTTCAACGGGGTGCCCTACCCCCTCCTTTTATAGATCAAGGGGAGCAGGGCTTACATAGTGGAGAAAAGAGAAAACTAGGAGCTGGGGAACCCTCCGAAAGTACCGCCCCCTTCTTCTTCCGAGCCAGCCCTGTTTGATATGGTCAGGCAGTGTCAGGGTTTGGCACGTTCATCGGGTGCTACGTGCTGGCGACGCGGTGTCTGTAATTGATCTGCTAGTGGTTATGTCCCATCCTGTCCCTGCGGGCGGCGTGTCGGGCAGGAGTGCCGGCCTGCGAT